AACAAACAAACATAGTTAAGACACTGGTTAAGAAACTGAGGTTGGTGTGTGTGACCAGATTTAAGTCACTTGCTATTTTCTGTAGTGATTCTCTTTCTACAGGATTCTGCTTTTTTACTAGAAGAACTGATTAATGTGAACCTAATATTTTATTTAACGAATACATGTTGCCATTCTCACAGGTATATTTTAGGCTGAGATTTCATCTGGTTTTGAATTAATGGTCAATTTCGTATTCTGGCCCCCAACGTGGTATCTCTACACAAATGGATCACGTATAACTCATCTGTTGATAAAGGGCTGTTTGGCTTAAACAGTCATGAGGAAAGTTTTTTTGTTCATCTTGAATGACCTGTCTACATGTTCTCCTCAGTGAAATAAAGAGGAGACTGGTTGCCCAAAAGGTAATAAAGTAAGCTTGAATGGAGATGGAAAGCTCTCACTTCTTCACTTTGAGAACATGATCTTCAAGACACTTGATTTCATCATGTGAGTACTGTACAATGTATAGTATAAGCATGCATAATTTTATAGTATAAGCTTTTCGTAAATCTAATACAGTGAAGCCCCTGAAAGATTGTTTTAAGCTGCTAGCCTGATTTTCAAGCTTGATGGCTAAAAAATGCAAGCACAGCTTTTATATAGCATAAGGATGTTAAGAAACCTTCAAAAGTTGACAAGTCCACCATGAGGTTGTAAGTGGATCAATATGTAGAGTCCAAACCATTTGGAAATGTCTCAGAGGCTCAGAGATGTGATTATATCCGAAATTGCAATGGATGACATAGTACTATAGTGGTGGGCAAAATGACAGAAGGTCTATATTCTAAACTTTTTTCCTACAGTTTATTCAATATAAATATAAAATAGGGGAGCACATCACTTTGAAGGAGATGGAAAGCACAATGCAGTCAACCTACTCAATACTAATCTCGTACAGAGCACTTATTTTATGTTATCCCCATTCTTTATTCAGTTATGCTGTGCAGTGTTATGGTTTCATATGTGTAGAGAAAGACTATTGTATCATAGAAACAGTGTGGATTGCTGGATTAGGGTTACAGAAAACGTTGATAGACTGTGAGCACTATACTAATTACAAAATACTAAATTACGCAGGTCTAGTCTACATTGAAAGATAAAATCCTGGGGAAATAGTGGGAAATTCAGTCATAACAATAGATATAATCAGAGCAGGTGTTTTATCATAACCATTTCATTGTACCATTGTATTTGTTTAAAAATGTTCAGCATTTTATAAGTGTAGAAACCATACTGTATACTGAAGTTATATGTATACTTTACACACCAAATGATGACTTTAAATGAAATATTAAATGAAATATTTTTCTCAGCTTTTGCATTCACCTGATGACTATTACTTCTTATTCTCCAGTCGAAGTTTCCACCACTTATGATTCTGTAAATGATAACAGTTCTTTAATTTTCATAGAAAATAATCAGTACAAAAATTATGTATATTTGTTTGTTATTATATCAGGTCTCACCTTCTTCCCCAAGATGCTTGGTGTGTGTGGTTGCATCTCATCCAAACTCGCATACGTGTTGCTGTCTGTCACTCGGATGTCCTCATAGGTGTTGCTCTCAGCTATGTGTTCATAGGTATTACTGTCACGTTGTTCAGGTATGTCTTGATAGGTGTTTTCTGCTAGAAGGATGTTGTCGATGGGCTTTATACGGTTGTCATATTCTTGCCCGGGCTGGTCCTTCTGTCCAGCACACACCACAGATAAGGTCTGGTAGAGTGGGTTGGGCTGTAGGGCTTCTTGGTCAGTATAGGGCACTTGGCAAGCTCCACTATTGCATTTTTTAAGATCAAGGACAGCATAAGAGCAGGAGGCTGTTTTGGGTGGCGCTAAAAGAGCTTGTTGAGGGGTGGAGGGCATAATGTTACAAGAATTAGAGGTTAAAGACTGACTGTTTTCATCATGGATAGGCAACTTAAATTGATAGTTGTAGCCTTCTGTGTCGAAGGTATCGCTTTTTTTGCCGTTTGCTCTCTCATCACCACCTGACATTCCAGATGTCCGTGATTCTGAAAAGCTGTGTTGTTCTTGTAATGGATTTGTACCAGGAAACCCGGCGCTTAAGGAATTCCGAAGTGGTGTATTCTTCTGTGGCAATGGTGGAACTTTTGTACCCTAATGATTTATACAACACATAAATGAATTTCAACACTAGATATGTAAAAAGGTTTTACATCATAGAATTAGCCATGGTTACTAGAGCTGACTTGGTTACCTGGGACAGGCTGTTCCTGTCAATAGAGGTGGAGATTGCAAGTTTCCGGACACTTTTAGAATGCAGAACAGGAGGCGTGCTTTGTGGTATATTGCTAGTTTGTTCCCATAAACTTCTTAGAGCCTTAACGCTAACACCCGCATTGACTCTGGGCTTATTTTGAACCACATCATAAAGCTCATTTTTGCCATCCTAGAAGAATGACAATGCAAAAGGACATGCATTGTAAAACATTTCCTACCATGTTGATATTCTCTTTGTTTTCATGTATTCAAAGGTGAACTTAGTATATTTTTTTTGTATTAGTATGTTGTGCTTGCCAATATGCCATACACTCAAACAATTTCCCTTCTGATTCCATTAACGATTTATTCACAGTTAACCATGATTAGTTTTTTTGCCCATAAGCAAATCTGGATTACCAAGATAAAGTGTATGAAATTTGGCTGGTCATATGATCAAATAAAGGCTACTTATATTAAATAGATTCATCATCTAATGTGATTGAACATGATTTTAAAAGTACTATTCATTTCTTTATATATAAGACTTTTTTAATGAAGAATAATTACTGAGTGCACCTTTAAAAAGAATGCAAAGTATGATTGATACCTCTTCCACAGAGTCCATATCTGTGTTATATGAAGTCAGGTACTCTCCAAAAGGCTGGATCGGTGTGGTTTTAAAGTGATTGATCAGCTCTGTGAGACTGTTATGAGTGGTGGAATCACCAGAAACGACGAACAGGCCAGTCTTGGTTTGATTTATGACAAAATGGCGACAACGATCCTGTCCTCTGTCAGCATAAAGCATTCGAGAAATGAAACAACCGAAAACACTGTAGCTTCAAACCTCAAAGCTCAAACCATTAGCTAGTTTATTTTCCCTCTACATTGTAGGGGTTTTAACATAATATAGGATCTGCTTAAAATGACTAAATTTGGTAACGCTTTACATTAAGGACTGATTTGCCAATTTGAGTTAACAACAAATAACAGTACTTCTACAGAATTGATTTATCTTAGTTACTGTTCATTTCAACATCTACTAATACATTTCAAAAGGTTTTAATATTTTAAAATATTGTATTAGCATTCTTTATTGAGCTGTGAACTAACATGAACAAACAATGAACAATTGTATTTTTATTTCCTAATGTTAAAGATGATTAATTAATTCTTATATAGCTCGTTGTTAGTTCATGCATGTTAGCTAATGCATTAAATAACGTTAACAAATGAGCTATTATGGTAGAGTTACAGAAAAATGGTTATTCTTACTTGTATGAAAGAATATATCCAATGGCTTTTTCGCTGAGTCTGATAAGGAAGCAACCAACATTCTTGTCTCTGAGCTGATCTTCTGCTTCACTGCAAACAGCACCAGTGCAACTGCCTCAATTCACAATCATAAACATTTGCATCTCGTTCACCATTACCCGAAAACAGACAGTATTTTATTTGTTCAGATGCTTTTACAGCTCATGATGAAACAATTATCTCTCATTAGTTCTTACTGTCTGGAGATGAAGCCCTGGAACCAGGGCGGAAAACTTCCATCACACAAGATGAGCACAGCCTGAGTCTCCACAAACCACTTGAGAATGTGCTCCTTCTGTAGTCCTCTGTCCATGGTGAGGTCTTCCCCTGTTCCCTCCATTCTTTCCATCTACTTCTCATTTAATTTCTCAGATATCTTCATCTTCTGGTACAAGGCTGCCTCTATTTGCTCCATTGTGAGCATCTCCCTCCCTGCACAAATGCACTGTACGCATCCAGTAAAGCCAACTTTCCACCTTCAAACATTCATAACATCACTTACTCACTGCAACAGGAAGACTGGCACACTTCATTTGCTTAGTTTCCTCCTACGTAAATGTGTAATCTTGCAAATGTAAAAAGGTTCTATTGTTTGAGTTTATCTGCCTGTAGTCAATCGCGATTTACGGGTTAAGTGTGATCTTTGGAAGGTTCTTCCGCCTGAATTGCAGTCTTGTATAAATATTAAAGATTAAAAACCTGGTTTGGATTTGGAAAATAGATTGGATCAGGAATTATAACCACTGCACAAGTTTATAAAGTATCAGTAGGCCTATGTAACAAATGAATGTGCTCAGCTGAGGGGGTGGAGGGGGGGGACATTTCGGAGTTTTATTATTAATAAAAATCTTTGTTTTTCATACTACCAATGTCAAATAGTTCACATTATTGCCATGTTTTGATCAATTTTGATGATTTTGATTATCTGCCTCAAAGCATAAAGGACAATGTGATGCGAGCATGGATTTTTACTTTTAATATTAGGCCTCACAATTTGCATGTCAGCTAGATATGTACCTACATTTTTATGTAACATTTAATTTTAAGATTAGTGTTTTAGATTAAATGATAGAAAAAAGAATCAGTCAGGAATTAGTCCTAAATTTATACTGAAGCAATTTATGCTGTTCTATGAGATATATGTTTTCAATTTATGAATTAAATCAAATAAAGTTCAATCTTTTTGATGGGGCAAAGAGTGAAAAATGTCTATGTAGTTTAACAGTCAAAGTAAATTTCTCATTAAAATAAATTGTGGCAAATAATAAATAAATTCTAAAAACACTTGGCATGCTCGTTTTTGTTATTTACTTAAAAGTATTTGCAAGTGTTTTATTACGTCATTACAAAAACTACATACAGATACAACTGTTTGTCACGTGTTAAAAATGATAAGCTTGAGCACATGTCAGCAGTAAACAGAATAGAAGAGTGAGACAACGGACAACGTTTATCATTCTGTGACCCACAGACAGCGACAGCAACGACCTTCCAACCTGGATATAATTCAGAAGAATCCCTTATGTTGTGTTGTCGACTCTTGTCGTTTTTATGCTCAGGCATGAGTTCAACAGGTGGCGTGTCCACTTTTAGAAACACTACACGCTGCTGCTGACGGGAATCGTGCGCTTTTCCAATGGTCTGTGAAGAAAGCTCACGCGCATGATAGGATTCAGAAACGTAACATATTTGTTGGTGATGACAGGTAGGTACATTACTTGTTCTTTTACTTACTTTTAATAAATACATTAGACATGCAATTGTCACACGAACTCTTTAGATTAGTCCTTATATGTTACCGCTGTGGGAATGCATTTGATGACTTTTATTGCAGTTATGTTTAATTTCTTTAATTTTCTACAATTTCGAAAATTAAAAACAAACGAAGGGAGTGCAATTACACCGTCTTTTTGGAGATCTGCTATTTATCCGGTGTTGTGACGATCAAACCTACCTCCAGGATGAACAGTAGTTAAAATTGTCGTGTTTGTCAGGTAAAAAGTGCTTCTGTTTCGAGAGAAGCATCGAATGCACATTAGAAGTGTTACAATGGGAAGCATATCTTGTCAGTTAGAAAATACCTGTCAAAATAGACTTTTTCCATGGGGCATTTTGTGAGTTTTCCATTTTTTCTATATTCTAGACACCAGTTTTCCTTGGATAAATTTAGGCTAAATATAGGTGAGGCCTCATCCTTATCTTGCACACTTAAGATCTAAATTTGTCCCACCATCATGAATGAAATATTTAGGTCACAACAAACCATATAATACTGTATGATTAACTTTATTTTACTGTATATGCATTAAATTGAGATTTTACTTAGTTCATTTATACATCGAGATTGACTAAAACAATTAGGCCTATACATTTTTGTGTGTATACTGTTTGTTATGAGTCCAGTAAATCTAATAATCTTTTTTGTTTCTTAAATAAGATCACAATGGCTGTGTTCAAGCAGCAGCAAGTCGAGAATTACTATGAGATTGGAGAGGAACTTGGCAGGTAAAAAAAAAATTGCTGTTTACTTGGTGGTTTATCATATACTTGCTGATTGCTGCAATACATATGATACACACTACACAGCTGCATTCATATAGTTGCTATATAAGGGTCACAGGGTCATCAAAACTTGAGGATCAGAGATCAGAGATTGTTAAAACTGCATAAACAGTATGAAAACATCAACATTTTAATTAGGTCTCTGATATGAACTGAATATAAAAACAATCTGCAGTGTACAAATGACAAAATATAAAATAAAATACAACATATTATATACATTGGCCTTTAAGTGTCTATATACAGTATAAACACTTAAAGGATGCATTATGGTGTGTTGTTTGTGTCAGTGTGTGTTTTATAACTGTTCATGTGTTTTTCAGTGGGCAGTTTGCAATTGTTAAGCAGTGTCGTGAAAAGAGTTCAGGCCGGGATTTTGCAGCCAAGTTCATAAAGAAGAGTCAGAGTATTGCTAGCCGGCGAGGTGTGCTCCGAGAAGAGATTGAGCGAGAGGTCAACATCCTACAGCAGATACACCATCCCAATATCGTCATGTTACATGATGTGTTTGAGAACAAGACAGATGTGGTGTTGATTTTGGAGCTGTGAGTAAAGCTTGTTCTGATGCTTATATAAATGATTTCGTTATTACATAAGTTTGGGCTTGGATCATATTTTATGTGCGTATTTTATTAAATTTTTCACCTACATATTGTTACTGAGAGGAGATTATGTATATTTGTAGGGTGTCAGGAGGAGAGCTTTTCGACTTTTTGGCAGAGAAAGAGTCTCTAAGTGAGGAGGAAGCCACACAGTTTATTAAACAGATTTTAGAGGGCGTGCACTATTTGCACACAAGGAATATTGCTCATTTTGACCTGAAGGTACAGTACACCCACTGGTCTCATAACACTGCCGCAGAACATTACAGTACAACACATTTGCGCTGACAGATGTGGAGTGCTGCAGAATGCTCTGGCAGAAGAACAGTGTGTCTTTGTATGTGTGTATAAGTGTGGGTGTGCTCCTGTGTGTGTAATTTATTTTCCGGTTTGCAGCCTGAAAACATCATGCTTCTGGATAAGAACACCCCTCTGCCCCGAATCAAACTCATTGATTTTGGCTTGGCCCACAAGATTGCTGAAGGGGTTGAGTTTAAAAACATCTTTGGAACACCAGAGTTTGTTGGTATGATACATGTTCTGTTTAAACCCTAAAGCCTGCTGCCTTTAACATGCACACTAAGGGGCCATTCACACAGAACACGTTTCTTAAAATGCACTTGAGTCCCACAGTTGCTGTGTCATGCGTAAGACGCTGTGTACAATGCAAGACGTGAGCGCAACAGTCAAACATGTTCGTCTAGCATCTTTACATTGTTTAACACAAAAGCAGTGCAGTGGAACGCAAAAATGTGTTCTGTGTGAATGACCCCTAACACACTTTTTTCATTCTTAAAGGAATAATTCACTCGAAAATGAACATTTGCAGAATATTTACTCCCTCTCAGGCCATCCAAGATGAGTTTGTTGCTTCTTTGGAACAGATTTGGAGAAATTTAGAATTACATCATTTGCTCACCAATGAATCCTCTGCAGTGAATGGGTGTCATCAAAATCGGAGTTCAAATAAAAACATCACAATAACCCACAAGTAATCAATGCGACTCCAGTCCATCAGTGAACGTCTCGTGAAGTGAGGGAAAGTGTGTGTTTGTAAGAAACATATCCATTAAGACGTTTTAACTTAAAACCATCACTTCTAATCCATAATAATGCTTCCTTCAGTGAAAAAGTCCACCTCCTGTTGTCCTCTCGCATTAAAATCCACCAACATATTTGTTTAGAACTGTTGTGGACTATTTTTGCTTGTAAACGGGGCATATTTCTCTCCTGATTCAGATGGAGTACACAATATTATGGATATAGGCCTTGTTTAAAGTTGAAAACACATTAATGATGGATTTGTTTCTTACAAAGCACGCAGCTTTTGCTTTTTGTTGATAGATTGACTGGAGTCGTGTTGGTTACTTGTGGAGTATTGTGATGTTTTTAACAGCAGTTTGAACGCTCATTCTGACGGCACCCATTGATGTAAAGCTAAATTTCACAAAATCTGTTCTAATGAAAAAACAAACTAATTTTGGATGGTCTGAGGGCGAGTATATATTTTCCACACATTTTCTTTTTTGGGTGAACTATTCTTTTAATGATTTATTCCTCTTCTGAATTTTTTGCACTTCATATTGTTTTTACGGTTTTCAGCTCCAGAGATTGTGAATTATGAGCCACTGGGACTGGAAGCAGATATGTGGTAAGGATAATTTTTTGTATTGTTAATTAAATGTAAATATCTCAATAATTTGAACTTTTTTTTAAATGGTTAATAATTAAATTAAATGCTTTACTTTTATAGGAGTGTTGGTGTTATAACATATATTCTGTAAGTACACAAAAACGTTATTTTTTCAAGCCTATACATGCATATGAAATTATAGCAAAGTTCTAATACGTCTAATATGTTACTAATACGCTTTCCAAATGTAGGTTGAGTGGGGCATCTCCTTTCCTAGGAGAAACGAAGCAAGACACTCTGGGAAACATCTCAGCCATGAACTATGAGTTTGATGATGAATTCTTTGGCCACACCAGTGAGCTTGCCAAGAATTTTATACGACAGCTGCTGGAAAAGGACACCAAGTAAGTGCAGAGGGCTGAGATCATCTAACGCCATTTGTGTTTGAGTGTGAGCTTTGTGTTTGTGACAAAACAGAATATGGTGCTTGTTGCAAGTAATATGGCATAAATTACCATCTTAATCATGTGTTTCAGAAAGAGACTCACAATTCAAGATGCCTTGAACCACCCCTGGATTAAGGTATGTTATGAGCTTGTGATTGTGTGCCTGAAAGTCATTTATAGGCATTAATTTTTTCACTTTCTCTCACTCTGTCCTTAAATATCACTCTCAGTCTTAACCCCATTCTCTGTTGGCAGTCTAACGAGCATAAAGAGGAACGCAGCAAAGCACCAGAGAGGAAGAGAGAGCGTAGGCAGCTGAAGACGAAGCGTCTCAAAGAGTACACCATCAAGTCCCACTCCAGTATGCCTCCTAACAACACCTACATCAACTTTGAACGCTTCGCACAGGTGGAGGAGGACGTGTCGGCCATGGAAGGCACTTTCTGCCAGCTGGCGTCAGCCCACGACTCCCTGCAGGAAGACATTGATGCACTAGTGTCCATCTACAATGAGAAGGAGATGTCATACAAAGAAGAAAGCGAAAGCATCAGACATGAGTTGTCCCAGCTCCGTTATGAGTTTCGTAAAGTCGAGGCCCAGAGGAGGGGTGTTCACGAAGACATGAGGAGTGTGGATGCCAGCGTTAGCCGAGTGAGCGAGCGATATAAGGAGAGGCAGACTCGTTATGAGGCCTTGCAAAAGGAGCTGTGTGCCGAGCTGCAGTGGGTACAGGAAGTGGTGGGTTCTTTCCAGGTCACCTTCCCAAACTGTAGCTTTAGCAGCGTGTTTAATACAGATGTCAATGAAGCACTGAAAGAGTTGCTGAATAGATCCTGTGGAGGAGACCTGCTGACAGGCAGCAATCTGGACCAGCAGAGATGACACATTAATAACCCCCCTCCCACTGATCACATATCGTTATATAAACACAGGCCAGATAAATGTGCTGAAGAGACTACGCTGGGGAATATAGACCTGAATAAAAGCAGGTATGGTCAGTCAGAGAGAACTATATACATGAAAAATATGTAACACAATTGTTTATGAGTTTATTATTTATGATTAAAAGGTTAAATTAGTTAATGTTTTTTTATATATATTAATAGGGTCAATTTAATCTTCCTATTTAAAAAAAAAAAAAAAAATTTGAGCGATTACCAATGGTGCTACAGTTTATTTTTTCTTCTATTTTGTCCTTTTCTCTTTGGTCTATCAATATAAAACAGATCTGATCATTTTAAGTTGTAAAATCACATAACAAGATGTTTTGATTTATTATTATGTATTAGGTGTATTTAAAATCATGATGCTTCCTTTATTGAAAAACAAGATGTTATGTTTTGATTATTATTATGTATTAGGGTGTATTTAAAGTCATGATCCTTCCTTTATTGATGTTACGTGAACAGCTGTAATTTGTTCAGGCAGTGTTTACATAGAACATGTTGTCCACCTTTGGTTATTTGTGTACCAGATCAGATTAAGTTGAAATGGCAAGTGAACCAAGCTTATTTGATTAAACCCTGTTAATTTATTAAATATGCCACAGTTTCAGATTCATTTTTTATTCTTTTTTTTTCCATTGCTGTAGTGCATTAGAGCAATGTGTGTTTATTTGGAATGTGTGTTTGAGTTTATGTTGTATTTAATAAGTACAGAAGGGCTGATTGTTATGTCTGCATGACATAAGTTGCTATGCTTAGTAGGATGATGCCCCTTCCAGCATGTACTCATGGACCTATCAGAGTGTAAACTCTTAAACAATTGACTACACTATTGAGACTAAAGGGATGTTGATTCTCAGTGAACTGTTGGAGAAGCTGCGAACCCTTAAAGGAGGTTATTCCATAACTATGAGCTAGATTCTGCATATTACTGGTGAGTAATACATTTAAGCTTTAGCATTATTGTATTTATCTTGTGATAATTGTTGTATCTCTTAAGGTATTTTATATGCATTGTCATTTTTAGTGTATTCATGTTACATTGCATTCATTCTTTCATGCTTTAAAGGCATTCCTTTCTTCAAAGCATCCTTTTAAGGTCTAATTGCTGCACTCTTATAAATTCAAATGCATGCATGTTGTTGGCTACACATAGTGTTTCCTTATTATCTATGTCTCTTGACAGAAAGTGTTTTTGCAACATTTTATGTGGGGTTTCCCCCAGTGTATCTGTCATTGTCACATGCTGTCATAGAAAAAGGGCACAAAACCAGGTTGTACAAGTTCATCTGTAAAGCTGAACCACTGACCAGGATCCTTAAGCGAGCGACACTGTCATGCCGATTTTACTTGTTTCTCTCTCCTGAGCAACACAGAGCCTTTCATTCATGTGCTGCAGCTGTTAGCCCTCTTACTGATGATTTGTGTGTGGTTTCAGCAGAAAAGGCAGAACCCTAGGAGGCAAGTTTGTCATTTTTCAGCTCCAAGGGAATGCGTTTACAAAGTAAAAAACAAAAAAACAAAAGTACATTGTCCCCAGATGTCTACACAAGGAATTCTACTGTGACAAGGGCTTGTTTTCCACTTCAATATAGCACACCAGAAATCAGTCCGGAAAAAACTTGCTTTTGCATTACGCTTTTAGTCCTACAGGGGGCAGCGTTCACCTCTTATTTACACTTGGACCCACAGTCATGCACAGTAATCCATAAGAAGTACACTGTTGTTGGGTAATAACTCTGAGGGCAGTGACTCACTTGTGTTTGGCTACTGTCCCTTATAAAGGTTGGACAGGTCAGGGATGATCCAATGTTTTACTGCAATTTAGGAAACAATTTTCAGGTCTTGAGCTGCCTGCGCATGTGCTAATCATGGACTCTTCTGTCAATTTAAGCCTCACAGTAATTCATTCTTATTGATTAAGCTTAATTATCTTATTTTAATGGCTTTCTTTGGTCTCACAACCACATTATCCCATCTTTTATTAGACTCGGCATGCGTGAACGTGCGCTGCTGTGTGTGCTGAGATAGTTCTGGAGAACGTTTATCTGTATGTGTGCAGGACAGATTAAACCGGCCTTCTTTAAACCATTATTTTTGTTTTATTCACTCTATAGTTGAAAAGTTCTCCCACTAAAAATTAAAACGTAATTGCTTATTTAATGATATTTTTAAGATTAAATCCAGTTGAGGATTATAGTGACGTGTTAAATAGATGAAAAGGAAATTGTTTTTTATAATGTTTATTAAACATTTAACAGTGCACAAAGAATGTCATGGTATAGGCCTACTGGGGGCTGTTTCATAAAAGATGGGATAATGTGGTTGTGAGACCAAAGAAAGCCATTAAAATAAGATAATTAAGCTTAATCAATAAGAATGAATTACTGTGAGGCTTAAATTGACAGAAGAGTCCATGATTAGCACATGCGCAGGCTGCTCAAGACCTGAAAATTGTTTCCTAAATTGCAGTAAAACATTTTTTTACTTTTGTTTTCATTTTAAAAAGTGCACTGGATGTTATTTTTTTTATTTCAAGGAGCTATATGACTATCCTGAGCCAAGGTAATGAAGTTTCGAGGTTTCCATAAACATTAATTTGTTGTGACCCTTGACACAAAGACCCGACGCTGTAGTTAAACCAAGTTTTGCAATACCAGTACATAGAGGTAAAAAAATGAGGAAAATTAAAATTGGTCAAGCAATCTCCATTGGACATATTGACCTGAGATATAAAAAAAAAAGAATAAAAATGACAAAACATGAACTGAAAATATATATATTTAAAAACCTTAATCAAAATACTAATAAATACAATAATGGTGTAGGCCTATAAATAATATACTATAGTATATAATAATAAATACAGCATAACAGTGAGAATATTGCATTGGTTGTGTTTGTGTGTGAGAGAAAAAGAATACTATTGAATCTACATCAAATCATTTCAAATAACGAACTACTCTATCATATTACAGAATATTCTATAAATGTATGGCTGCATATGTATAGTCGCTCGGGGCAGTGGGTAATGAATGATAGGGAGGGACTGAACACTGAGCCTGCTGCTTGTTTCACAGCAGCTGAGTCGTGAGGGATTGAGCGACACTAGCTCTCCTCACTCCCAACTCTCAATTATTCAGCCTTACCAGATCCTCAACCCAGCGATTACGAGCCTTTTCTGTCATGCACTGTCACATGCTGGTGCCGAGGGACCATTAATCACCATGAAAGCCACTTTCGTTCATGCATTGAATAGGCCTTTGGCAGTTTATGGTAAGCTCCAGCCTCACCTTTTCAGTCCTTTATTACCACAACAGCCGACAGGTTCCAGCCATTTCAAACGTGACATTATGTGTAACGTTAGTCTTCTGAACTTGCATTTCAGTGATTGTAACAGCCTATGTGTCAAATGTATGCCTCGTACATTGGGCAGATGTTTGTTTGGGTGCATGATTTTAATGTGAAATATCAGCAGCTGAGCCGACTCATGTAAAGTGAGTGGCGGAGGGGAGTTGATCATAGCCTGGCAACCATAGACAAGCAACTCCACAGCCCAATATGCTATATAGTCATACACTCACAAGACACTTAAGTATTTTATTTGAGGCTCGTTTAATGTGATAGTTCAGTCTAGGCACACAACATAAGGCGTAAAGTTAGTGAATCATTTCGGTGTAGTGGATTAGCTTAGCTTGCTGGCGTATACTGTTCTGTTAGCTATGCTAACAAGCTAACGCCTATAAGTTCCGCTTCACTTGCAGACGTGAACGCTGTAAGACATTTCTTTTAAATATCTTTAACAAATATGCTGCAGGTCTCGTATAAAGATTTAGGCAGTCAGATATTTATGGGTAACGTATTTTAAGTAACACTGTTTATGCGAGCAGTGTGATGCGATGGGTTAGCCAGCTGAATGAATAATCAAACCGCAAGATTGGCATAACCAACACCGTAATCATTGCAACGCAAACAGCTGGGTGGAAAAATCACCTTAATTTACAGACAGTTAAAGTGCTTGTTAGCAAGATATGATAATGTCTAGAGCAGAGGAATGGTTAAATAACCTAATTTGCTGCTGTAACAATGTATTAGCTTACAATCTGTAACTTTATAAATTGGATTATGTAATATAACATGCTATAAGAATTTGCTAGTCTGTTGTTATTTATTCTGATAAACTGATGTGTAGTTCAGATTGGAATATACAGCCAGTTTCCTTTACATTAATCAAAATGCTGTCTATACTGTGTACTGCCCATATACTTTCTCTCTCACATATGTAATATTTTAGCTACTGGCAACATGTTCTTTAGTATTATAGGATTTATTTCATGTTATCATTGGCTTATGAAATGATTTGAACAAGATTAAAGTGTTAAAAGTTGAAATGGTGTATTGTATCAAGCGTAAACCATGCATTGCATTAGATTAGATAAGATATGTCTATTTCTTTTGCACAGGTTTATGATAAAATTCAACAGACAATAGTTTAAGAAGAAAATCATACCCACAAAAGTCTAACGTTGGCCTGCTTATTAAAGTTAACTGACTAGATAAATAAGTTAATAGTCAATGGGATGACTCAAGACCTACATTTATGCATGCATGTTTGGGCTGAGTACCCAAAGGCTGTCATTTTGCTGAACAGATTCCAGGCTTTGATAAGTGGATTGGCAAGATGTCAAGTATGTGTCAACACAACCTCATCTGCACTTGATGATCTTTCTAGATAGGTCAGTACTGACGTTCATTTCTCAGAATCAAACTCTTTTTAGGATGAATGCATATTTCATCATCACCTTGTGTTTTTAATTTCTGGTTATGGTTACATCAGAATGCTTAGTTGCTTAGTGAGGAATAGTGGTTTCTCTGCTAATGTGTGTGAGACAGTTTAAATTGATTCACTTTGGGATGCATGATCTATCAGAGCCATATTGGTTATTGACTGATAATAGAGATTTTGTTTATTAAATTTATCTGTATCAATCCATATTTTATGTACCCGGCTATTCAAAAGTTTGTCAGTAAGATTTTTACCGTGTTTTAGAGGATGTCTCTTATGCTGCATTTATTTGATCAAAAAACAATAAAAAGTCATATTGTGAATAAAATATTATTACAATTTTAATTAGTTTTATATTTTAATATATTTTAAAATGTAATTTATTCCTGTAATGGCAAAGCTGAATTTTCAGCAGCCTTCAGTGTCACATGATCCTTCAGAAATCACAAAAATGCTTTTTATTAGAAATGCTGAAAACAGCTGCATAATATTTTCGTGGACACAGGGTATGTTTTTTTCCCCCCGGATTCTTTGATGAATAGAAAGTTCAGAAGAGAAGCATTTAATTGAAATAAAATATTTTGTAACATTATATATGTCTTCTGTTATTATTTTTTTTATCAATCTAATGCATCCTTGCTGAATAAAAATATTGATTTCTTAAAAAGAACATACTGACCCCAAACCTTTGAACAGTAGTGTAATAATTACCTGTCAATAATATCATATAATAATATAAATTAATATCAAAATAATAATTTATTTGTGCGTGCCCATTCTCCCTATTGTTTTAGTATTTAGATTACCTTTGTCTCTACAAGTAGTATAGAATGTTTATATTGACCATTTATTAACATAATTGACCCATCTTTATCAAATATTAATATTGCTGCATCCCTAGATTCACTGTACCTCTTTATCTCTCAGATGTGACAGTGAGGTTGTAAGGTGGCACCATGGCTGCGATGATACCACCAGTAAAACTAAAATGGTTGGAGCACCTCAACAGCTCCTGGATCGCTGAGGACAGCGAGTCCATCTCCACCCGTGAAGGCGTCGCTCTGCTGTATGGCAAGCTGCTGGCCAATAAGGAGGTGGTTCTTCTCCCTCAGCAGGTGCTATGTCTGAAGGGCCCTCAGCTGCCGGACTTTGAGCGAGAGTGTCTGTCCAGCTACGAACAGGAGCATTATCTTGATGCGCTGCTGGCCAGTCAGCTTGCTCTGGCCAAGACGGTGTGCTCAGATTCGCCCTTCGCCACTGCCCTACGCAAACGTCTGCTAGTGCTGCAGCGGGTTTTTTATGCACTCTCCAACAAATACCATGACAAGGGCAAGGTCAAACAGCAGCAGCACTCGACCGAAAACACTCTGAGTTCTGCGGACTTGCAAGCAGTTAGCGAGCGGCCTCGCTCTAGTACAGACGCCCTCATTGAGATGGGCGTGCGAACGGGTCTTAGTTTGCTCTTTGCTTTGCTCAGGCAGAGCTGGACGCTTCCTCCAGCCGGTCCAGGGATCAACCTCTGCAACGATGTCATCACCACAGCCATCGAAGTGGTGGGCTCCCTTCCGCCGCTCTCCTTGGCCAATGAAAGCAAGATTCCACCAATGGGTTTGGACTGCCTGGCCCAGGTCACCACGTTCCTGAAAGGAGTCACCATGTGCAACTCGGGGGCCGATGTGGTGGGGAGGAGGCTGGCGTGTGAGCTGCTGCTGGGATTGGCAGCGCAACGAGGGTCCCTGCGCTACCTGCTGGAGTGGGTTGAGATGGCCCTGGCTGCATCGGCCGGTGTTAGCAACCTGGAGCAGAGCCAGGAGGGGCTGATGGGATATGACTGCTTCATGAACATTCTGATGCAGATGAGGCGTTCACTGGTACATGCTCAGTACAACACTCGCAATTTGTTTTACATAGTGTTGGATGTTGTTAAATGACTGAATGTCTGGTGTTGTAGGGTTCGTCTGCTGATCGTAGCCAATGGAGAGAGCCGACCCGCACACCTGATGGTCTCTGTTCCCTATACGAGGCTGCACTTTGTCTGTTTGAGGAGGTAAAATACAAATATAAATATATTCATGTAAATTTGTTGTATGGACAAGAGAGGGCCATGTCATTTTGCACATGAATCACCCAATGAAAAACTGTTATCACAATGTGTGGTACTTTGATACTGTTTATAACCATGTAAAGTCAGACATTTGTTAAAATCTGATATGATAAATAATCGTCAAAAAATGTATTTATTTATTAGAAATTGAGTCATTTATTAAACCTTTAGATAAAATATTTTTTTTAAATCTAAAAACAATTGCATACGTTTTTTGAGTATCATATCTGATAAATCAGGCTTTTGTGGCTCTTATAGTGTGAGATAGGAGAATATGGAGCTCAGACTTTTATTCAGAGGCCCAAACTGAGCAATAAATATGCAATTTGGTGCTGTTGGTGATGTTTATCTGAAGTATATCATGCAGAACGATGATTGAGAGTTGTACAAATAAACATTCCGCATAAGCCTTAAATTTGATAGATTTTAAGATGATTTATCTATTTGGTATATATCTATATTGGTATATATTATCTTTAATTTAATTTCTTCAGTCCAGTAACTGTTCATATTCAAATAGTACTAACAATATACATTTTATTCTTTATCTCATAAAAAATAGTAAAGATTTTACATCAAAAAAGACGTGTACCATGACCTGAAGGAGGACATTTTTAGAATGACACTAAAAGACCTTTAACTTGCTAAAAAAAGTATAAACTATTAGTCAGACAGAAGGCATGTAGTAGACTGACAAAAGGTTTTTAATCAGAGTTTTGATCATGTTGATAGAGGCCTTAAAATTGTATGTATCAAATATGATGCAGTAGGCTTTATTGGGTTAAGAAAACAGAACTATTTAAATGTTATCACCCTAGTTTTGTTTCAAATGTAGGATGTCTTTCATAAGGATTTTACGCATTCAATTTCTTTCGAGTTCTCAGGAGTCCAATTGACCAATTGTTTATGACCTAGAATAGAGTGAAATAGTTGTAATATTTGGTGATGTAATTTGTCAGCATAAAAGAGTCTTTGTTATTTTCTGTTTATTCTCTTATCTTTTAGGGTGCTTTCACACTAGCACTTTTGGTGCGCACTCGGGTTCGATTGACGTCAGAGTTCGGTACGTTTGGATGATGTGAACGCTGTCTTCCAAGGTAGGCAGCTGTTGCCAATCCTCAATGTATTACCATTACAATACATGTAACTCTGGACCAAAATAAATGTAAATCAGTTAAGCCACATTTTTATGTAGTTGGGGGTTCGTGTGATTATGCTGACATGCTGTGCAGCTAATTTTGCCCTTTTTTTTAAATAGTACTGCTTTCAGATTCTTATGATGATACCCCCCAAGGCCAAACTCTTTTTCAGATTGGACTAAACATCACCTTAAGCAGGATAATTATTTTTACTTATTAAATCTTGGTGCATCTATGAAAAGAGCATGCACAACATGCTCCTGCACCTAAAACAGTACATAAGAAAAGTTATGATGCTTAACTAACCAATATTGGGGTAAAACCAAAGTAAGCACATACAGTTTAATAGATACAATTTCAGAGTCCTTTCGTTTACATATACAGAAGCGGTTTATTCATAAATCAAATAAAGACAAACCACTCACTGCTCTTGGCAGGAGCACTTTAGCTGTAATAGGCAATTTGCAGCCAAACATAATTTTGAATATAGACCTGCTTTTCAGTCAAACTCGTTCTTATTTACTTTTTCAGTCATATCAGTACAGACTTGAAACAGTTAAGAGATTTGCTTGTAGTGTATATTTTCCTTGTACTTGTTCTTGGTTTCATTAGTTCTGTGAGCGTCCTTCGATGCTTGTCATCCAGTAAATCCAGTTTTAACTGCCAAAATTAGAAGAGAAGAGAAGCTGCTTTAAGATGCATGCTATAACACGCTGCACAACAAATCAGTCCTGCTGTATCTAAAATAGATAATTAGGAATATGTATCATACCAATTTTTTGCATTAGAATTGTTTTTTTTTATTTATCAAATCATCCTGTGGGCTAGAATTGGGCCATGTGTTTGACACTTTAACTTCATTTTAAATCGATTTCCTGATAGGTGTGTCGCATGGCTTCAGACTACTCAAGAACTTGTGCGAGTCCAGACAGTATCCAGGCGGGTGAGGCAGCCATGGTATCTGAGACCTGTGAGGTCTATGTGTGGGGCAGCAACAGCAGCCACCAGCTTGTAGAGGGCACTCAAGAGAAAATCCTCCAGCCCAAACTCACTCCCAGCTTCAGTGATGCACAAACGGTAGAAAGCAATTTCATATTAATTATTCATACAGTGTCAGTGTTAGTATCCTTCTTTATGCTCACAGTGAATGCTTGCTGACCACATCTCGTGTCTTCAGATTGAAGCTGGCCAGTACTGCACATTTGTCATCTCCTCTGATGGTTCAGTCCGAGCGTGTGGGAAGGGCAGCTATGGGCGCCTGGGACTGGGTGACTCAAACAACCAGTCCACTCTTAAGAAGCTGACCTTTGAACCTCACCGTGCCATTAAGAAAGTTTCATCATCCAAAGGCTCAGACGGCCACACATTAGCCTTCACTAGCGAGGGAGAGGTGTTCAGCTGGGGTGATGGAGACTATGGCAAACTGGGTCATGGCAACAGCTCTACCCAGAAATACCCCAAACTAATACAGGGCCCTCTACAAGGAAAGGTACTAAATTCATGCAGTAGTTATGCATCACTTAATCTTTTTGAACTCTCAGAATGTACCTGTGTTTTTAAATGATTAATGTCTTCTGTTGCTTGTGTGTTTGCTTGTAGGTGGTGGTTTGTGTTTCAGCAGGGTATAGACACAGCGCTGCAGTCAGTGAGGATGGAGAGCTCTACACCTGGGGAGAGGGTGACTTTGGTAGATTAGGTATATAATTGTCTATATATTATATTTATTGCACACATTCATTAAAAAAAAAGTTAATGGCTGCTGAAAATTCAGCTTTGCCATCACAGGAATAAAATACATTTTAAAATATTTTAAAATACTAAACGGTTATTTTAGATAGTAAAAAATATTACAATATTATTCCTTTTACTGCATTTTTTATCAAATAAATGCAGAAAAATATGTTTTAT